CCCAACCCCACTTCCCCATGGCCATTAATATGAAGTCCCGTCCCTTCTCCCTCCCAACCCCACTTCCCCATGGCCATTAATATGAAGTCCCGTCCCTTCTCCCTCCCAACCCCACTTCCCCATGGCCATTAATATGAAGTCCCGTCCCTTCTCCCTCCCAACCCCACTTCCCCATGGCCATTAATATGGAGTCCCGTCCCTTCTCCCCCCCCAACCCCACTTCCCCATGACCATTAATATGAAGTCCCGTCCCTTCTCCCTCCCAACCCCACTTCCCCATGGACATTAATATGGAGTCCCGTCCCTTCTCCCCCCCAACCCCACTTCCCCATGGCCATTAATATGGAGTCCCGTCCCTTTCCCATGGCCATTAATATGGAGTCGTCATCCCCCCGACCCCCCTTTACCATGGCCATTTATATGTAGTTGTTCCCCTTTGTGGCCTCTGCTCTTCTGGGAAAACTTTCCTCAAGAGGATGTCTGTGGGAATTTGTCCCATGTGTGAGGTCAGGTACTGATGGTGGATGAGAAGACCCGGCTCACAATTGGAATTTCAATTAATTCCAAAGGTGATCAGTAGGGATGAGGTGAGGGCTCTGTGCAGCACACTCGAGTTCCTCCACCAAGCTGGTCACACCATGTCTCTATGGAGCTGGCTTTGTACACAGGGGGACAGTCATGGGGGGACAGAAAAGGGTCTTCACCAAACTGTGACCACAAGGCTGGAAGAGCCCAATTGTCTACAATGTCTTTGTATGATGGAGGATCACCAGAACCTTCACTGGAGTCACCTGAACTCCATTATTTAAAAGGGGATGTTCATACCTTTGGCCATATACGTAGGGGTGACAGGTTTCCATAAACGTTTTTGACCAAATTGTGTATTATTGATGAACATCATTAAATTTCATACCCCAAACTTTTGCTCATCCAAGAATGTTAGGCACTAGACTAAATGTGGGAACAGCTCCTATAAGCTGAAGTGTTGGCATCAGAAATAATTATTCCACCGTGGCTTACACCCGGGCCTCCTCAACCTCTTTTCACTAATGGCAGAAAGTATACAGGATCTTGAGGCGCCCCACTCTAAGACGTAATGGGATTCCCACACAAAAAAAAACTAGGGTTTCCCCATTACACACCAGAGCCATCAATCCCCCTTCACATCAGAGCCCTCAGTCCATCCTTCGCATCAGAGCCCTCAGTCCATCCTTCCCATCAGAGCCCTCAGTCCATCCTTCCCATCAGAGCCCTCAGTCCATCCTTCGCATCAGAGCCCTCAGTCCATCCTTCGCATCAGAGCCCTCAGTCCATGTGACGGACCCCCGTACTCAGGATGAGTATGTCCGCCGCTGTCTTCTTCCTTGCTGAGGAGATATTGGAACCCGCTGATCTGTAGCTCCCAGTTTCCCCAGTCACTAGCCAAGGCTTGAGTGTAGGTGAAACAAACTCTGGTTTATTGAGAAACTGCACAAACTTTTATACAGAAAGTGATGAAATCAGATCATAATCCCATCACATCCACCTTCCCCTCCCCAGAAATCCTGTCTTCACAACACCACAGGTGTCCACCTGCTAAATAGCTCCAGACAGCCATAGCAAGAGCCTGGCCAGAATGTCATTGTTCTGAGCTCCCTCAGAGAACAATGGGAGATAACGAGGGATGGTGCTGATAGTCTTTTCATAACCAGGTCACACAGCATAACGCACTCAAACATAACTCAACCCCAATACACATTTAACTTATAAACTCATCACCATGTCGTCACATAGCTCCCCCAAGTTAAAAGATGGCAGACCCGGCGAGACCCTCTACAGGTCCACTTGGGGATGTCCATGATGTTACAGTCACCCTTCCAGTTCCGTTTGCCGAGATAGTCCATTCTCCTTAGCATTGTGTTTCCAGAGCCGGGATTGTGAAATTGAATGGCTGTAGGGCCAGGCTCCACCCCAGGATATCCGGTTCAACCAAACAAAGGGGGGTCTCCAAAATCTTAGGTCCGTAGTCGCTGGGAAGGAGGCTGGCTGCTAGGCCCCTCCAGGAGCCCAGGTCACAGTGGGTACTGTGACATTTCTCCCCTCCCAAAGGTAGTCTAATTAGGTCCCAGTCCCCCAACTGGTCTGGACCTACGTTTTTCAGGCAGCATAAAGTTCACATGTTCCATCCACAGGACGTTCTGCCTCTGGGGAGAGATGTCATCTGTGCCTTCCTGAAGAACATGCTGCCTCTGGAGAGGGGTAAAGCCAAAATCTTCTGGACACCAAAGCCACGTGCTGGCTTCCCATCAGAGCCCTCAGTCCATCCTTCCCATCAGAGCCCTCAGTCCATCCTTCCCATCAGAGCCCTCAGTCCATCCTTCCCATCAGAGCCCTCAGTCCATCCTTCCCATCAGAGCCCTCAGTCCATCCTTCCCATCAGAGTCCTAGCATAACTTAATTTCAAGGCACCCCTGAGGAAGCCAGAAGGCACCATGGTTGACAATGACTGGCTTAGGCTGTGGAGATGGAATCCTGCATTGACTTCAATACCTCTGCACATCTCCTTCTGCTTGTAAAGGCCGACTGACAACATAGTACCCCCATCTCCCCGTGTCATTCGTACTGAGTTTTGTAAATCAGCCAAAATTTGAGCCATGGGTGACCCTACTGACACCACCGGCTAAACAAATAAAAAAATATGAAGTAACCAGGCAGAAAAAAGTTGGCCAAACAACGACTG